ACCTATATAAAGCCATGGCAGCATAAACAGCTCCTGTGTCTTGTAGCAATGAGAGCTATTTCAGTGTACACAGCCTTACACCTAGATGTGTGCTGCCGTAATCAAGTCTTCCTGTTAAGGGCTGGGGTGAATGAGGTGCAATCCCTGACCAGTTACAAAAGGAGCTGGCCATCTCTTGGTACTCTGGCTAGACTGACATTTAGTACTGCTCAGGAGACCAGAGGACCACAGGGCAGCATCTGACCTATACATATTTTCTACTAATATTTATGTTCTGGGTAGCACACAAAGGAAGCAGCTGGGATGGGAGCCCGTTTTGCTGGTTGCAGTACATGCACAGTACAAAGGCTGGCCTAGGTAAATTGTAAATAAAAGTCCTAATTTCAGTTGGGGCCTTGAGGTATAACCCCAATAAGAGGGGTTCAATGGGAGGGAGAGACTTGGAGCTCTTTCCCCCAACCATCCCAGTAACACTGGAAGAGATGGAAGGAGAGTGGGCAAAGCCCCAGTACCTGTGGGTGGTGGCTTGGCTTCTTTCCAAGGGATGCATTGACCTGTGTGAGAGGTATGAGCGCGGTGTGGGGCTGTAACATGCATATGGCCTATGGAGGAAATGGGGATCTCTTGACAAAGCTGGAAAAGCCTGTTTCTCTCTTCCTTGTGTTTCCATGGCAGCCTTTTCATATTCAATTATAAGCCATGCAGAAATCATAGTGCCTTGAAATAACTCATTGTCTCTGTTCTGTGCACCACTGCCCAGATTCAGATGCCTGTCAAAACTGCTTGAATGTATCCTGATGTTTGTGCACTACCCATATGACTAGAGGGCTGTCCCCAAGCATCTCTGCCCTAGAGCACAAGTCTTATGGTGTTTCAGCTTTATGCACATGCTCTTTGATGGACTCTGGTAGTGTCTCTCTGAGCAGTATTATATATTCATTTTGCTTACCCTGCTCAGATGCTTGTCTCTGTTTGCTTTTCCACTTGGCAAACAGGAGTTAAAATTTGTCAGGGCAATTGACTGATTTTGCCCCAACAGCAGTCTGTTGCTCCACTTGCCCTTTTGATATGGTTTGCACTGGATTAAGGCTGAATTAAGACAGTTCACGGGCCTGGGTACCATGTCATATAGGCCCTATCATGACTTGACACCCTGCCAGTCCATTCCTCCCAAGAGCAGCTGTGTTTGGTGGGGTGGATGGGCTGAAGCCATAGTGTTACTCTTTTTCTACAGACACAGTTCTCCCTTCTGAGGTAGCAGAGCCCCCAAAATGCAGGGTCTTGGAATTAGCCTCTCATTGAAGTGTATGGGGCAGTTTCCTCTTGTCCAAGATACAGTTTCAGGTGCTCAGAAGACTCAAGCAGACATTATGGAAGCAGCTATGCCCAGACTATGCTTACTGGGTTTCTTGTGCAATCATAAAACCTAGTACATTAAAAAAAAAATAAGGCTGAACTTTGTATGTAGCCACATGACACTTGTAACTGGGCAATTAGACACAGATTTTCTATGCCTTAATCTGGCCTTTCCTGCACACTATGCTTGTGAAGTATATTGAAGTCTAGTGGAAAAGGAAGATCTTCAGAAGCTGATAGAAAGCGACAGGATCCGACATTGGGAGCTTGTTCTGATGATGTAATTTTCCTATCATGGCATTTTATTGGCTGGGTGACTCTGTAATCCTGTGATGTTGTTTGGACAGTGACAGGGATGGTAAACAACTGTCCAGTAACATAGCAGCCCCTTCCCACTCCAATTCATGCTGTTTGAGCAACACAAAACCAGTGTCTTAATGCTAATCAGTTTATCTTCATTAAGTTCAATTGAGTTATGTTGACTTAACCAGCTCTCTCCCATGTTATCTCCTTTTTAATTTTGCAAGCCCTTCCCAAGACTGTAATTACTAATGCTGCCAATGTGGTGGCTTTACATCTGGCCTGGTTTCCTAATATAATGGTTACAGCAAGGAATGAAAGGGGAAAACATAATGCTAATAGATTAAATTTCTTTATTTACAGTAACTATTAGAACTCATCATTTTTAAACCCTTTACATCCTGTGGTGTTATAAGCCTTTCTTATGTCTTCATGAGAAGTAAAACATTGTTCAAGTAAAACAGGCAGTTTGGTCAAGTTTTGCTTTAGTGTGTTGATTTTGTTGAACCATGATATGTTCCAGAGACACAAGCAGATTTAAATGAAGCAATTGTCACCTCAAGGAAGTATTGCTCTAGTACCTTATTATAGCTCATCCCATCAAACAGCACTGAATCTACTGGATTTTTTCATGATTAATATAAACTCTATTCAAGTTGAAATGTGTAGGGCATGATGGCAGTGCTGACACCAGAATGTTATTAGTTCAGTCCTTGTGTTGCACCCAAGATTACTGGCAAGGGCCCCTATTCTCCCTTTACACTCTGGATGTCAATAGGTGTTTGCCATTTTCTGTGCCACCAGCATCCAGTCCAATATCATCAGTGCAGAATGAATTCAATAATGAAAGCTTGAACAAAAATTGTCACAAGAAGCTGAGAGAATAGCCTTGCCGAATGGCAGCAGCTGAGCTCTAATTGTGTTATTATTAGTCTTTGAGTCTTGGAGGTCTCTGCATTGCAAATAGGTTCATAGATGTAGGGTCGGAAGGGACCTGAGCAGATCATCAAGTCTGACCCCTTGCCCTGGGCAGGAATGAATACTGGGCTTATGTGACCCCTGGTAAGCTTAAGCTCATATGACCCCAGCTAGGTAATTATCTAGCCTCCTTTTAAAGACCCCTAAGGTAGGAGTCAGCACCCCTTCCTTTGGAAGCTGGTTCCAGGTCCTGGCTGCCCTGACTGTGAAGTAGTGCCTCTTGATGTCTAGCCTGAGCCCACTCTCAGTCAACTTGTGGCTGTTATACCTTGTTACTCCGGGAGGCGCTCGGGGGAACGGGGTCTCACTCATTCCCCACTGGTCCCCCCGGTAAGTTTATAGACGGCCGCTAGATCCCCTCTCAGCCTTCTCTTGTGGAGGCTGAACAGGTTCAGGTCTGGTAGCCTCCTGTCATGGGGCCTGCCCCACTGCCCCCGAGCATGCGAGTGAAATATCTGTTCTCATAAGGTAAACCTTGGATAGCGACAAGCTGAGCTGTGTTGGCAGGCTTGTGGTGAGTGCCTAGAGCACAGGTCTTACAGTGTTTCAGCTTTATGCACATGGGTCTTCAATAGAGCTGGGCATCTGAAACCAGTTGGACAATAGCTGCTTATAAAGCCATGTGGCTTCTGTGTGGTAAGTAGTAAACTAGTTCTCCATTTCCCCCTGCTTGTCAAATAGTCATACTGGAGCTAGAATTGTAACACACTGGATGCTTACACATCACAGCTTATTACAAGAGGGGAGGTTCAGTGTTAGCACCAGGAGCTGGAGTGAAAATGGAGCCCTCCCCAAGCAGAAATCTGGGTTTTGAGGTGGTGGCAGAAGAGAAATGCTAATGAATGAAATATCAATACCATCCTTTTGGAAGCTGAAAACAATGCATATGGGAAAATGTTACTTATATCCACCTGCACAGAATGAAGTAAACAGCGAGCTGTTTTTCTCCATGAATATTATATTTGTTAGTTCAGCAGTTTACCTCACATTGCATTTTACCTCAGGCCATTGCCTACTCAATTTCTGGCTTCCTGTGTGCCTCGTCTTTTGCCATCTTCATCATGTCTTTAGAGTAAATTTGATAGGCACAGGAAGTTGCATTAGGTCGGATATTGAACCGACAGTCAATAAAAAGGAACTCAGTTTCTAAGGAAGATGCATCCCATCTTCCCTCAAGAATTATACCACATATCTTAATATCAGTGGAACAATGGATTTGATTTTTAGATTCAGATGATGCCTCGCAGGCATAATAGCAGCAACAACAAAAACCCGGTGCTATATTCTCAGCAAAATTGGTATCAGACTTCCGGAAATTGTAATTATTGATGCTTCCTCCCGTTTCTTATCAGTACATTAAAATTGTTCCCCACTCCAATGTCATATTTCTCATGGCTACTAGTTTAGTGTATTTATGGTGTATGAGTCATCAAGCTTTCTCCTGATTGGCTGAAAATTAAACACCCCTGGGACTGTCAGTCAGTAACAGCAATCCTCAGCTTCATTCACAGATTTATAAGCCTGCACACAGAGAAATTCATTCAGAAAACTTCATTCATAAAAACTGCAACACTCTCCTAACCTGCAACAGAGAAATTCTGCGGTGACCTGGATTTTAAGGAAAAGCTAGGGATGACTCCAGGGCTGTCAGAAAAGCTGCATACAGGTGAGGGGCAAGACTCGGAGATGTGAAGTAAAATTCTGCCGGACCGTAAGACTATTCAAAGTGTTTCTGGCTTGCGCTGCTGAATGACTTTCAAAACCAGAATGAGCAGGACAGACAATGAAGACCTGCTAGCTTCAGTCAGTGAATCATTTTGCATGGGGGATTTTTTTATCGTTATTTTGTGTGATAAAGAATGTGACTTTTTTTTTTCTTTTAGCAGGGGCCAGCTGAACATCAAACTGCTGAGGACAGGATGGGCGACGTATCTCCTGGGGTTCCTGCTCATCTCTAAATATTTTTGAGATTTTAGCTCCCTTCTGTTGCTTTGTGTGGAATATTTTTTGAGCTTTTACTGCAGCCAGTGCTACAGCATTAATGATGCAGGCTACATCAGGGAGTGCTCAAAGCTGAGAACGATTTAGAGGCTGGCTTGCTTGTGGCAGATGTGAATATAGGTATGGATAGCAGCTCTCCAGCTTAATCTGCTCTAGCACTGTCATTGTCGTCTGTTCATTTCCTTTATTGCTGCTTGCAGGTGACCAGATATCTACCAGATTTAAGCAGGCAGCAAAAGCATCCACTAGGTTTCTGTTTTTGGGATTGCTAAATTCTGTTTGGTATTGCTAAATTTCTATACAATTTACCTATACAAAGAAAGCCAATTTATGCAACAGTATCCAGCTACAAAACTTCCAAGGCTATGAGAGAACGCAGCCAGCACGGATTCAGTGGACACGTATTATATGTAGGACTATTTAGACACCCAGGAATGTTGCACAGGGCTAAATACAGTAGATTTCGGAATGATTCTATAACATCATTAGATGAAGGTACACCAAGTAGCTCTTTAAATATCAAAGGCTCCTCTTCATCTGCACATTCCTCAACACCTCACTTGCCAATTGAAGATGTCACCTTCGGGACACAGGACAGCTCCCCCACTTTGTGCACTTTGATACCCCGAATGGCGAACATTAAATTATCCAATCCATCCAATCTTCCTGGTCTAAAAAGCTTCTGTCTGGGGACAAAAGAAGTGCCAAGAATTAAACTGACAGAGTGTGGGACTGTTCCAAGCAGCCCAGCCTCCCCAGAAATCAGTTTAACCAGCTTCCTGCCTACGTCTCATCTGCAGCAAGATCTGAACAAGCCCGGTGTAAATGCAAAAGCTCAAGATGACTGCATCCTGCGTGGATTTGATGAGCCTGCTTCTCTAAGCAAACAGGAGAAGCACCTGATGCAAAGCAGTGAAGACACTGTAGAGACCAGCATGACCTACTGTGTGCGGGTAAGTCGCTTCTCACAACTATGCCATGGAATAAGGGAACTAGGCTGTGGGCTGGTGTAACACACTCTTCCTTTTTCCCCTTCTGCAAGCACATGTCCCCAGATCATTTCTCATCCTGTATGTTTTCTGTGTCTGGATGCCATGTATAAACACCATGCTAATTATACCAGGCAGATTATACCAAGCAAAGAGCACAATATCAATTTCCATAGAATGTCCACACAAAAACTATTCCTTAAGTAGCTTAATTGATTTGAAACCAAACAGGTAAATAAGTATTGCTAGGGTGGGAAGTGCATTTTTGAAGGGAGCTGAAGTCTTCAAGAATTTGTTATCCCCTGTGCAGCAGAACTGCTGCACTAAATCTCTGATGGGTCACACATACCTCAGTCATGTTTTTGCAGATGTGAAACAGTTGCTGAATGTCCTGATGCAAACTGTATTGTCCTTGTAGTGCCTCTCCACAGAGGCAGAGAGTATGATCTAGCAAATGGCGTTCTCTTAAATTGGCATTGTTCAACATGTCTGGTTCTCTCATTGTAAGAGTGCATGTATCTTTTCTGAAGATATCAGTTAATGAAGGAATTCTGTCCTCCAAGCATCTTTTATGCTCAGTGGTATGCTGGCTTTGCTACATGGCATGTCTTCTCTGTTTTTCACTCGCTGGTGAGTAGGGGACCTTGTTGCATGAATGATTCCCTGACATCTGTATTTTCTGCTCCCTTCCTCTTATGCAAACACACCTTTCCCTTGTTATAATTGTTACACTAATTCTTATACCCTAAAAAGACTTGCCAGTTGCTTCTCCTTCCCCTCTCTAAATCTTTAGCCTTGATCATTTTACTTAAATTTCATCTCCCTGCAGCACTCTCCAAAATGAAAAAGTATCTGCATAGCAGGCCATGTTCTGAATTACTCCAGCAATGCTGGCCTAAGGACGGGATAAAGCCATCATTCTGTCAAACAAACCCCCCATGTCTGTCACTGGGACCGAGTGGGGTACAGCAGCATTCAAACACCATAGGACAAGTTATGATTGCCAGCCATATGTCTAGTGACAATAACCCTTGGCTCTTCCCTGCTGACCAAGCCAAAGTGCATGTACTGGTAAACTGGGAGTTGATGGTGAATGACAGCCTTGAAAATCAGGAATGGCAAAAAAGTCAAGGACCATGCAAAGACTTGACTTCTGCTCCACTGCTGGTCTTGATAAGGGGGAAGAGCCAGCAACAGGATTAGGAGACCAAAAGAGATGCCATTCCAAAAGTAGCGCAAGGGCAGCCAGTAACACACAGGAGGGAAATCCTGACGTCCTTAACAGAAGCCAAAGTTTCCAGGGCACCAGTGAAAAGTAAAACCAAGCGGCTTTCCCCAAGGAGAGTTCATCTGAGGTTTATGAGCAAATTAAATGGAAACAAGCTGACAGGCTCAGTGGCATGCTCTACCCTTCCCCAGCAGCTGAAGGTTGGGAAGTTGCTAACATTGTGCCTATCTTTGAAAAATGAGCCAAGGGAGATCCTAAGAATTGGACTATTGATTGAGGCTCATCTCAGTTCCAGTGAACTGAATGAGTGTAATTGAAGTCAGAATAGTACAGTGCCTGCAGAAGTGAACTAGCATGGACGATCAGGAAGGCGATTGAGTGCCCTAGTATGCTAGGACATTTTAGGGCAGCTCATAAAGCTGGGTCTTGGTGCATTTCATTCTTCTCTTCCCTGGGGTTTGTTAGTGCTGGAGTCTTCAGTTGTAGGCCCATGCTCTCATTTTGCATGTTCAAGTCTTGCATCATATACACCTAATGTATAAAACAACAAATGCCATTAACATTTTACTTTCTTTAAAGTCAAAAGCATGAGGAAAATCTGTATTTGTTTGGGGTCTCATTTAAAACTGAACTACTTTACCATGTTGGATCATTGTCTTATGTCTGTGCTGTTTTTTCTTTAAAATCCAGTACTAGTGCTAGGCATTGGATGTTTCCATAGCAGTAAGTTTTTACACAAAAAAAGAGAGGAAGAATTGAATTAATGAACGTTCATCAGCTTTGGTGTTCAGGCCTTTTAAATCAGGGTGGGTAAATGCATATAGTATCTCACTCATCAATACAGATGCAGGAGCTGTACCTTAGGCAGCCACATGTTGGAATTTTGGGCAGTGCTAAATGGTGAGAGAAAACAGGAAAGATGAGTACAAATTAAAAGGACTTAGCCCCTTCTGTTGCCTACCAGATTAAACATTGTTTTAAAAAGTTTTTACTAGGTCTAAGGGACACCTCATGAAGAAATCTTTTTGAAGACTCTTGGTCATTACCACAGTCTGAAACCTCTGTCCAGTCTGGACAAAACCACCATCTATTTAGAATTAATTGCCAATCAGCCTCATAATAGCAGACAGTGGCTCATAGATTTGTAAGTTGATATTTGATGCCATACAAAAGAGAGAGAGCCTCAGAGATAAAATGCCTCTGTCTATGAAAGAGTATAACTTATCGCCAAAAGAGGAATGTAATTCTCTGTGCATCTAATAGCAAGCAAATTTTGAATGAAATCTTTAGCTTGTTATCTAGTGACAGGCATGACCCCATGGTTCTAATACACGTGCATAGTCAGACTCTAATTGGCTTTCTCATGTGACTAATAGCTGTAGAATCATAGGCCATATTCTCATTTTCTCCTTCCTATACTCACGAAAATGAATAATGATGCAGATGTTTGAAACACTGGAGCAATGGAACTTAATTTATTTGCTTTTAAAATCTAAATGCTTATAAAAGTTACTTGCTTTTAGGCCCATGACTCTCAAATCACAATTGGATCATCCCTTTAAGGAGCCAGTCTTCTGTCAGAAGTTGTCGTGAGTTTTGCCTGTATTTATTCAACAGCTAATGTGTTCAGATATGTTCGCCCAAAGCCAGACATCCAAACCCATATTTTGGTAGGCAGCTAAGGAGTATCTGCTTTCCAAAGGTGCTGAGCCTCAAAGGGAACCACTGACAGTTCTTTTCTCATCTACCATGAAAGGTCCCCAAACTCATAGTGATGTCCAGTTAACTGGTCTGACAAGTATCAATAGTGTGAAAAGGGATCATTTGTAAAGGTTTTCTTTTAAAGATAGAGTTTATAGCTGCAGTTCCAATGGAAATAGGAATGCAGTACATAGGATGGATGCACAGACAACCATAAATCTTACCTTTACTAATATATCACCATACCTATCTTAAGTCAAATACCTTTGTTAAAGTTTTCTTTTATAATGTGTAGTATCTTGGGCTTGTAACTGATAAACAATACATTTCTAGAGCTCCTAATAGCTTTTTGTTGCATCATCCACCAGGCTTTCCAGGTATTCTGCATAAATCTCCTTCTTCTAGCGAACATATAGCACTCTATATTTGTAGGTGCACACTCACATGTTTCAGTGTGGCAAAATACAGGGTAACATATGCAGGAGTTTAAGCAGAACCGTACTAGCAATTATTTTTGGCAATGATATAAAGTAAAACTACTGAAGCAACTGCCCCAAGGTAACCTTTTCCTCAACAGACTTCAAAAAGGGACACTGATAAATCCTGAATACAGACTGAGAGCAAAACTGGTCCTATGTGATATAGCTACTCCCAGGGTTCTGTGTTCTCAAATATATTTTGTACTTGGTCTTTTCAGAATGTAAAAGGAAATGTATTTATATACTCTTTTTCACAAGCTGTTTATGTGCACAGTACAGTACCGTGTGGAGATATCCAAGCTAGCTCAAGTACCAGAAGCAGTAGAAGCATGTTAGCACTCCACCTAAACTTTACCCCGGTAAGAAGCGTAAATTAGACTGGAATACTAATTTACCACCATGTTAGCAGGGCTTTAGTGCTTTCAGTAGCTGAGCTAGTTCTGACTATATATGGTATTGCATAGTGTACACACGCCCCAAAAGAGACTGAAATATGAACTGTGCACTGTTTGTTTAGAGAACCTGGGGCACTCAGTGTGCATTATGCCTAAACTGAGCCTGAGGACTAGACAATGAACCACTGTACCATACCCACTATTTTTTATTTGATTATGACCATGGACACGGCATACGAAGAAGTGATACAATTATAAATGCCAATCATGAAGCCAGACTATCTAAGTCTTCTGTTCACAACAGGATATAGTCAATGAGAATAATGCCTTTTGGTCTGGCACTAAGGGCCCAATCCAATGCCTATTGTAGCCAAAAGGGATTCTTTCATTGACCTCAGCAGGCATGGGATTGGGCTTAAAGTAGCTCTATAGCTCAATCTACATTAATAATGCAGCCAGGCTGCAAAATCTCCAGTATTTCTGTTTAGACGTTTAACCAGTTGTGGTGAGCTACCCTTATTTATAAAACAAAAGGGAAGCAATCTTCTAAAATGTAATTTGTTTCCACAGTGTAAATTGCATTGTCTTTGCGCAGTACCTTCTATTCGGAAACACCACAATTACCCTTATCTCAGTGCTGATCCAACTGAGAGCTGTTTGGTGGTCTTTAAGGAATCAGCTGGTGGCCTCTTGATAACAGAGTTGTAAGTCTGGCCCTAAGGCAAGAACTGAGGACTCCTGTATCTAGTCTGAAGCATTTTCTGAGAGATCACATGTAGGAGCTTGTCTACCCGGTGCAATCCTGTCTTAATTCACATAGGCCATGTTCAGATGACTGCAGACGTGTGGCAGGTGGCACCACAGACCACACATGCAGGCATTCCCTGGTCTGCTACCTTGCAGTTGCTGGTCCCAGCCTCCCCTACCCCACCCAGGGTAACCTGCCACACGGCAGAGCGTGCATGGCATGTGCGTTCCCTGGGGACAAGTACCAGTGGCACAAGGTGTGCCGCTGCTACTTATCACCAGGGGAAACAAATGTCCATGTTTGAATGGATGCAGACAGGGGGCATGTCCAGATGAGCCTGCACATGCAGGGGTGTGCATTTACCATGGCACAAATAGCAACAGCACATAATTGTGCTGCTGCTTTGTGCCCCA